CACACACACACACACACACACACACACACACACACACACACACACACACACACACACACACACACACACACACACACACACACACACACACACACACACACACACACACACACACACACACACCACACACACACACACACACACACACACACACACACACACACACACAGACATAGTGACAACCTCGCAAGAATAGTCAGGGAAGCTTCCTGTGACCTTCAAACGTCGAGATCTGATGAAAACTCGATTTTTGCAAAACGGGGTGAAAACAATATCTTCCCGATTTTTGAAAATCTTCGATTTTCTTAGCGGGAAGTTAAAAAAGTGCCAAAAGGTCAATTTGTGAAAAAGTTATAGCAATTTGAAAAAAAAGAGCGGTTTTTTTCAAAAATTCGTAACTTTTTTTGGGTTCGGTAAAAAAAATCTGAAAAAATTCAGAAAAATGTCTTTGGTAGGATAGAAAATGATAAAAAAGTTTCAGCGAAATCGAAGGGGTCGGGTCAAAACCTCGGTGATTTGGCATGGAATGACCCATAAACTTTTGAACTACATGTATTTTCTGACTCAACTCGTCGAGTTAAGTCGGAATGTATGTTATTTAATTTGTTGAGTAACAAATGTTTATGTAATTTTTTAATTTTTAATCCGCTGTAACTTTTAAACAAGTTGGCCGATTATCACGTAGTTGACAACAGTCGATGCAGTTTTTTTGAATTCTATGATGAATTTCAAACCGTGAATTGATCAGATAAAAAATTTCGGAATTTGTTTGAAAAAAACGCTTTTTTCGATTTTTTTACTCAACGATATCTCACAAACGAATCAAGTGATTTTGACCGGTCCGGCGGTGATCGACGTAGTTTTTTGATGTTGAGAACTGATTAGTTTTTGAAATCGGTCGGTAAAGCTATTTAAAAATCATTCTAAAAAACGATATTTGAAAAAAAGTTTTCATTATTTTTTAATTTTTGAATGGCCCATGAAATTAATAAAAATTTTCATAAAGTGTAAGTGTTATAGGTTAAATTGAAGGTAATATAACCAGCTTCACCATAAAGTTTCCAGTCATGACCTATTTTCTGTCAGTCAATAGTTATTCACGGTTAAAGTTACAAAACTTGAAATTTTACAAAATTTTGAAAATTTTAAATGGCCGCTATTTCTAAACTAATTGACCGATTTCGCTCATCTTCAAACTCGACCTCGGTAA